CCATTAAAGCTGAAAATATTGCGTTCTTTGACTTATAAACATTTCTACTAAATCACAAAGATAGATCTGGTGTATAAATAATCTTCTCTATTACGTTTAATGAATCAAAAATAAAAATAAAATAATTCTCATATTTATAAATAAAAAAAAGTAATAATAGTGATCAAGCTATGTACTACTATATGTAATAGATCATATCATATAATTGTGAAAATAATCTATTGAATTGGATCAGTAAATCAACAAAATTTAATCATAGCTATTAAATTCTAATATTATGATATATAATGTTTAATATTAATTCATATATTATCAGATGATTTTGTTTTTAAATTAAATAGATAACTAATCATACTGATGTATCTCAAGACTCACAAAATATTGTTGAATTACCATCAGATTATGAAACTTCATCAACAAAAGTGAATTCAGATAATGTTAGAAATGTTAATAACCAACAAACACGTATTAATGAAAATCCTCAACTTTATCAAAATTCGAGTTATGATGATAATGATTTAAGACGAGATGTATCTCAATATCGATTTGGTGATGACAATAATGATGATCAACGAAATATAACGGTAAAACCTTTTTCTATTAGAAGATAAAGAAATATAATATATATATATAGAATGGAACTGTATCAATACAGGAAGAAATTCGTTCAAATAATATTTCTGAAAATGAAATTCTTGATGATAATAATAATAATCACCAGCGTGATCAATGGTCAGGTCGTTTTGATTTTTTCTTTGCAAGTCTCGGTTATGCTGTTGGTCTTGGTGCTGTTTTACGTTTTCCTTATTTATGTTATCGAAATGGTGGAGGTAAAATTAAAATTTATATATACATATATGAGATAATTATAACTTTTTGGTACGCTTGAGATCCTAGCATATTTAGCTTATTACGTTTGTTCCTCTCGATCTATTTCGACAATTTTTTTAAATATTTTACTCGTCTAGAGATGTGCTAAATCCATACCGAATTTCAGCTCTTTAGCTCATATTGTCGCTGAGTTATGAGGCTCACACTGTGAAAAGCTCGTCTTTTTCAGAGAGATGTGCAAAGAAAACGAAATTTTTTAAGCATGAAACGAAAAAAAAAGATATCAAATAGTCTATTTTGTAGAGCCTAAAGTGTTCTATCGAATGATTTATGTTTTGTATTTCTCTCTCTCTCTCTCTCTTTTCACGTATATGTGTCTGAAACACTTTATGACAAGTACTTATTCATTTTCCTGTAGAACGTCATTATTTGTCATTTTTCTTCGCTTGTCCACCGATGAGTAAAAAGCGAAAGTAATTAAAATAAAGAGTGTCGTATGACAAACAAATTAATAAAATAATTACTTTTGGATGATTTTTCTTTTTGATGAAAAAACTGTTCTCTTTCTCGAAGTCTACGTTTTTGCTCAATTTGTAGGACAACATTTTGAAAATTTGTTTGCGAATAGCTTTTGAACAACTCATCTGTTTTCGCTCAAATTTTTACTAGAACTACACTTGTTAGAGTTGTATTACCAGTTAAAAATACATCCATCTATCTCTTTCTGTTATAAAGATATTTACAAAATATAATGAAATGTAGAAGAACATTTTGTCATTACATAAAATGTTTTAGTATGCATTTGCATTGAAATAAGTCGTATCTCAGCTAATATGTAGTAAAGTGTTGGAAAACTTTTGCTGTGTAACGTAGACATAGAGTGTAATAAAATGCACTGTTCAAAAATTCTTTTGGCCTACGATTATTTTCTCGCAGCAATTGTACTCAAAGTTGCAATTCACTCATAAATAAAGAGCCTTATACGATAAGAATCGAAATATGCCATTTTCTTAAAGTCGTTTAAAATACACATTGAATATTGTTCTGTATGTTTTTATGCGATGGATTTGATTATTATTATTGAGAAGCCAATATGACTCATCAGCTTGTGTGTCAATATTGTGATTAGATACATATGTCTTCGGTCTACAACATATATATATATATGGATAAAAGTACATTCAAGTGACCGTGGTAAATCTTCGTTCTCCATTATTTGATCCCGACGCGTAGGCATCGGTGGGCCAGCATCAAAATTTTTGGTGTGCAATTACTAAAAAGATTGTTTTGATGACTAGTTTTTGTCAGGTTGTCGATTATTTCAAATATTTTTGGTGTGGCAATTGCCACACTTTGCCACGCTGGCGGCCCGCCACTGCGCGCAGGTTTTTAGTGCTAAAAGCATTTATTCAGATATAATAAATTGCAAAAACCATAGATTATAATAGAATTGTTCTCTTTTTGGTATATCTAGATTACTGTTTGTAATGCTGGGATCGATATAGTAATATCTGTCATTGGATGATCATAATGTGTAGCATTTTATGCGAAACGTGAAGATTTGGATTTGGAGAACTCGCTTAGAAATCTTGCGGGATATTTATATATGTTTTTGTTCCCAAAAATATTGGCACGTGTTTGTGAATTGTTCGTCGTATTTGGGTAAACTTTATTTTCATTTCATGACTACTTATCAGTCCGTGGTGACTGAAGAAAATTCTACTAATTATGATATGGAAGTTTTTATTATATAGGATCTTGTATAGTCATAGAATGAATCTTTGTGATGGGACTGATTGTGTATGAATGATTAGGCATGATGTCAATATTTTTTATTTTTTCATCACGGAAGTGAGCAAAGAAAATCCTTATCTTCATTAGATCAATCAACAAAGTCGTCCACTAAGTTACCACGGTCAAGATGTTTTAAGTATATATCGGCTGGTCGATTCGTAGAAGGATTATTAGAATATCGCTTATATCCCAAAAACTAAATAATAGCTACTTGATGTGAACATATATCAACTGATCGATCACCATTTGGACAGCTACAGCAGCTACACATGATTTGAGTCGAGAGTAATATGGTGTTGCTAAAGGAAACATATAACCTAATATACGAGTAACTCTGAAGTAGCATCTCAAGATGTTTACTAATAATTTTTGATTTGTATATAAGTGTACGACGTCACAACTTTCCTTTCAACCTGTCGTACTAACACACTCTCTCTATTGGTAGCCACAAGAGAAACCTTCTTCTGCAAGACCATTAGTGTTTCATGCTCATCATTGAGCTGAGCCATTATTTATTCATAAACATATCTGTTCTTCTTAGCCTCTTTTCGGACATGATCAACAGTCACAAAATATTCCATTCCTCACGTTATTTTAACACCCTCACACTGTTTTCCAAATGTAGTTTTGACCGATCCAAACATATAAGCGCTGTCAAATAATCGAGAACAAAGGTTTACAGAGATCACTCGAATGTACTTCATGTTGCTATGATAGCAGGTTTTCCGCAATCTCTTGTCTTTGCAATCTTGTACCTCTTAGTAATTGGTAGGACCCTAAAAAGGTGCCTTTAAGTCTGAACCAAATAGTAGAGAAGGAAAGTCCACACCGGTTACTCTAAAGGTATACGTATTTTGTAGATCTATGACAGATGTATCTAATCACAGTATTGAATGTTAAAAATATTTCTAGAGAGAACTTCTCAATAATAATGAAAATCAAAACTACCACACAAAAAATGCGCGGAACAACATGCTCTTTCGTGCAGTATATATTCATGTATTATAGTCAGAGGGTGTATAATGCAGTACTATTGATGCATCACAGTAAAATAATAAAATACTTAAACAAAGACAAAATTTAATAGATCGACTTCGAGCCTAACCGAGTCTGTGCTGCTTGGTTTAGTCTTGGGTGCAGTGTGTGCATAAGGATGACAGATTTCGAGTCTTATTGTGTCGGATCCTTTTGAAAAATTTTTTTATTATTTTAGGTGTTTTTCTCATACCATATATTATCTTTCTATTTTTTCTTGGTATTCCATTATTTTATCTTGAAGTTAATCTGGGACAATTTACTTCTCAAGGTGCAACTCACTGTTGGAGAATGGCACCAATATTTAAAGGTGATTTCTTTTTCTTCTTATTAAATACACAAACATGAAGAATTTCTTTCATATATAAATATAGGTCTTGGTATTTCAATGAGTATAATGTCATTTTTTTTCACAGTTTATTATACTATGTTAGTTGGTTATTCAGTTCTATATTTTATACTTTCATTTCGTAAGGAACTTCAATGGGCAACATGTGGTTCATGGGCAAGTATTAGTACGTGATTAACTTTTCTATTTATGTTTTATTTAATTTTTTGAATAAATATATTTAAATAGATTGTATAAGTAATTTTTCATCATTTACAACACAAAGTAATTATGAAAATACTTATAAATATCCAAATGGTCGTTTTCTTTACACATTTTTAGGTCAAAATTTCACAGAAATTGGTTCATGGAATATTACAAATGGAACACAATATGGAAAACCTATTCTGCCATCAGATGATTATTTCAAGTAAATACCAAGAGTATATCTTTCTCCTCTCTTTTTATTTTGACCAAAAACTCAGTTTCAAGTGTCTTTACATCTTTTGGCCTTAACTAACTGGCTATTAGAGTATTATTGACTTTTTTAAATTCTTTTTTTCATATTCATCATAATGAAAACCTTTTCTTTTATTATGTTTAACGTGAAATACGAGGTTTTACAAGATGTATTGAATTTTGACTCATCGGGCTAAAACTTTTCTAACAGATATTTGCAGAGTTTTTCAAAGATGTATGTGTATATTTTCGTTTATAACCGTTTCTTGCATAATTATAGAATTTCAATGTCACAAAATATATAGGGAAAAAAAGAATTTTACAGACTTCTGTAAAATATTACAGAGTTGGCGACATTACTTTTGTTAATCCCTAAGTAGCTACTTGGAAAAACAGGAAAAATATTTAAAATCGACACTTACTGTAATAAAAGTTTCAGTTCGTTTAACTTTTCTATCGTTTAGAATTGGATATGGTTAGACAAAAGGATAATGTTAATACAAAAAATAAATGAAATTTTTCTGTTTTATTTTTAGTAATTATATATTAAATAAATCGGAAGGTATTGATTTTATATCAACAATAGACTGGAGACTTGTATTATGTTTACTTGGTACATGGATATTAATTTATATTTGTCTTTGCGGTGGAGTAAAAATTTCAGGAAAAGTAAGAAAGAAAAAAAACACTAAATAAAGATATACATATATATATATAATTTTAGTTACTTATCTATATGAGTATATCAGAAATTGGAGAACTTTTTAAAACCTATAACATGTATATTAATAGAAAAAAAAAGAAGAAATAAATATTGATTGGCTATTCTATATAGGCATGCATCGAACCGAACCTTCGGATTCGCATTCGGCCATTTCCAGTCGGATAATAAAAGAGTGTAGAAGTAAACCAAAAGAGAAGGTTTCACGGTTAGCTCTAGTAAGGCTGTACATAATAACATAAATGATCCAATAAAGTGAAACATTAGAGGTATTCGGTAAAAGTTAACGATGTTTCGAAATACCCGAACCCGAACTTCGAGGCCGAACTCCGAACGGTAGTTGGAGTTCGGTGCATGTCTAATTCTATACGTATCATCGATCCTTTTTTTTTTATTAGATTGTTTATTTTACATCAGTATTTCCATATGTTATTCTTCTTATACTTGGTATACGTGGTTGGATGTTACCAGGAATGTCAAATGGAATATATTTTTATATGAAACCTGATGTAAGTCGTTTACGTGAAACACGTGTATGGAATGATGCAGCAAATCAAATATTTTTTATTTTATCTGTTACATATGGTGGTTTAATAACATTATCTAGTTATAATAAATTTAATCAAAGTACACTTGGGTAAAACAATAATAATTAATAATTTAAAATAAATAAAATAATATATATTTTTTGTTTTAGAAATACATTAGTTGTTTCAATAGCTAATGTAATAACTTCAATATTTGCTGGTTTTGTTATGTTTGCATATTTGGGTTATTTAGCACATATAACTGGACAAAATGTTAAAGATGTTGTATCAGAAGGTAAAAAATTAATATAATATTTTATATAAAATATATATTTAACATATAGGTCCTGGTCTTGCTTTTATTGTTTATCCATATGCAGTAACTACACTTCCAGTAGCACCCTTATGGTCAATTCTTTTCTTTTTTATGCTTATTTTACTTGGTCTTGATTCTGTGGTAAATAAATTATTTTAATATATACTAAATAAAATATATATATTTATTTTTTTTTTCAGTTTGCAAGTATTGAAACAGTTGTTGTAACAATAACAGATCAAATACAGATATTACGTCGATATAATGCATTAGTAACATTTATAGTTTGTACAGTAATGTTTGGACTTGGTTTACTTTTATGTACTAACGTTAGAAGAAAATATTCTATTATTTACATTTATAATTATTTTATTTTTATATTTAATTAGGCGGGATTTTATTGGTTAACATTATTAGATAATTTTACTGGTTCTTATGCAGCATTTATTATTGGTTTATTAGAATGTATTTGTATTGCTTATGTTTATGGTTTGTATTTTTTCTTTTTGTTAAGTGTAATATATAGGCTTGTGCATAACCTTTTACTACGACGGAGGGATTAGCGCTACGATTTTCAAATAGAATCCATAATAAATTTTATATCAAATTAAAGCGCAGTAAGGATTATAAAAACTTTTTAATATCGAATTTCCGAAATTTTTATAATTCTACGATCTATCGGCATAGAAAAATTTCTTTCACGATTCAATTCGATTAGGAGTGTAGAAGTGTAGAAATACTCTGCATTCAATTTTAAAAAGTTGTGATAATCCTTACTATTTAATATTGATATAAAATTTTTTATGAATTCTATTTGAAATCACAGTGTTACCACCCTAGAAAAACATTTTTATTCACTCTATATTAATTTTGAGAGTTCAATATATTAAGTATTAAACTTAAAATCATATCGTTATCCCTCTAGCAAACGATTATTCTCAACCCTGTAGAATTAGAATTTCATTCATATAGAGAGGATATTGAATATTATACGATTGATCTCTTCGATAAAAAACTCGACATTTCTTTGCTAATTAATGTCTATGACCATATCTTTTTTTTCAATAATTTTCAATCAGTTAAAATTATTGAGCTTAAGACTTCTGAATCGAAAGATGAGTAATCTGCATAATGATTATCTACAAAGTAGTCTAAATTTTACCATCGACAATCTTTTATTATGAATAACTTCAATTTATATGAATATACAGACTGAAAAATGTTGTGTTAGTAGTACAATATTTACATATTTCTAATATCCACTCAAATTTATATCTCAAGGTATATCAGTTTAAACATTTGACAATTATTCAAGCTGATTTTTGTTATCAGAGATAAAATTACAATGAAAACAAATATCTGTTTTGTTTTTCATACATGTAGACCATCCAGACATGGTTTTATCTAATAGTAAAAATCGTAGCTCTTCATATTGGTTCTAACAAAAGTTATTCACTATTAAAGACTATCCGATGACTTTATGACCATCCTGCACTTAATATTCATTAGATTCAAAGATGTTTTTCATAATTGTTTTTACACGAATATTGTTTTCTTTATCTATTTTAATGATAAAATAATCTCACATTACATTAAATCATAACGTGTATCATCTTATTATAGAATAATATCTTCATATAATTTTCATGATTTTATTTTTTCAACAAGATCATTTTAAAATGCAATAATCTTATCTCATGTATACAAAGATAATTCAGGCTACAATTGCATATAAGTTGTAATTATATTATTATGAAATTTATGAAAATAGGTCGTGTAAAACACAGTGGTGAAAAATATCTTTGAATCTAATGGTTGTTATATAGTGATCTATACAAACATAACACGATGATGTTTTTTTTTTTACAAATTTTTTTATCTTTCATAGCAACTAAAGCATTTAGAAATTTTATTGATTCATTAAAAGATACGTTTCTATACTCTTTTTCAATCCTCAAAACTCTAAACTCATTTGATTTACTTATTTGAAAATTATAGTCTAACGCTACAACAAATAGAAGACAAAAGATTGAAAGTAACGTATTCTGAGAATATATTTCGTATAAGATAAAATGATCTATATTAGACTTATATTTCGCGATGCAAAAGTATCCGAACAAATGTCTGAAGCTATTTCACAGGAACGGTAAATCGTAAAAACTGAATTAACGTCTCGTTTCATAGAGCGAAGCGACCTCTTTTCGAACGACATATGACTCTTTTGTTCATAATCTCAAATGAAGCGAACACAACGAGAACACGAAAACCTTGCAAAATCGATCGTAACTTTTCATATTAATAACTCAAATTATGTTGTAAAAAACTCGGTTTCTCGCTTTGTAAAACAAAAAATTCCATGTCAAACAATCTACGACATATTAAAAAAGTATAAGAAACATGGAACAACAAAATTTTTACCAAAATCAGGTCGACCATCGAAAATTTCTGACAAGTAAGTGAAAGTACTGGTCAAAAGCGTTAATAACAAAGTCGGTATTAGTCAACGTCGACTTGGACGACGATTTAGGGTCCACCAATCGACAATTTCACGTATTATCAAGAACCGAACAACAATTAAAATATATAAAAGAAAATCGGCTCCAAAATATACAAATAATGATCAGGAACGACGAGCTCAATCAAATTGTCTGAAGCTCTACAAAATTTTGAAACCTAATGTCCAACTCATTTTGGATGATGAAAAATATTTCACGTTAGGTGGAAATTCATCTAGTAATCGTTATTACTATACAACTGATCCAAATACAACACCACCTAACGTGAAATTCAAACGAAAAAAGAAATATGAAGAACACCTGCTCGTCTGGATGGCGATCTCTTCAAAAGGTAAATCATCGATCTATACTCATCGTTCAAAACTGGCTATAAAGGAAGGACCATATTTAAACGAATGTCTATGTAAACGTTTATATCCATTCATCAAAAAACATCACCAAAATGATGGTATTTTGTTTTGGATGGATCTTGCGTCGTCGCACTATTCAAAACAAGTTCAACAATTTTTGAAAGCCAATAACATCAATTATGTTCGACGTCATCAGAATCCCCCAAATGTTCCTCATGCACGTCCTATCGAATCAATTTGGTCGTTACTGGAACAGAAAGTATACGCGGAAGCGTGAGAAGCTAAAAGTCTGGATCAATTGGCTAAAAGAATTATTTTAAAAGCGAAAGAATTGGATCAAGACGTGGTTACACGTATGGTTTCAAGTGTTCGAAGAAAACTTTTGAAAATGTATAGACAAGGCGTTTATAGCGTTTGTTAATATGTTTAGATAAACTGTTTTTTATGCTCTATTAAATAAAAGGTTAATCACAAAAATTGGTTGAATTCTTGCTCCACAGTACGCTCGGACATTTGTAGGGATACTTTTGCATCGCAAGATAGACGACAGTTTGATGTTACAGAACGGAAATATATAATTTATTCACACAAGATTTCGTTATTATTAACGTAATTCGATGATGAAAATTAGTATTTCAAGCTTCATTATAAACCTCAAACTGAAAGTTATTCAAAAACTGATGATGATCATTTAACTGTAAAATAGATATTTTTAGAAAACTATGAAAGATAAAAACCGTTGTAATTAAAATAATTTTATCGTGTTTTATATTTAAATCGTATAGAAATTAAATTTCAGAGTTTATTCTATTTCTAGGTAGTAATAATTTTCGTTCGGATGTTGAAGCAATGCTTGGTTCAAAAAATTGGGGTGTACGATTTTATTTTATATTTCAAATATGTTGGTCATTTATAACACCATTAGTTATTATTGTATGAAATTAAAAAAAAACAAACTTCCAATTTATTTTTTTTTATATGTTTTTTTTTGTTTGAAATATCAAGGGACTGATTGTATTTACATCATTAAATTATCCACCACTTCAATTAGGAAATTATAAATATCCTCTTTGGGCAAATAAGCTTGGTTGGGCTTTAATGGGTTTAATTTTATCTGGATTTGTATTTTATGCAATATATGCTATTATTTATTTTGTAATTATAAAAAAAAATGTAAGAAAATAGAAATTAAAAAAAGAAATAATTAAAGTTTTTATTTTTATTTTTATCAAATTTTAGTCATGTAGAATTTTAATTAATCCACAACCAGATTGGGGACCTTTATTAGAACAAAATCGAAAGAAAGTTAATTATCATTATGGTGAACATGATGGATATCTTATTAGATTATTTGATAAAATCACAAAAAAAACTTTATCAAAACAAAAATTAGATGGATCAAACGTAAGAATTAATTTTTTTTCAAATCTCTGCAAAAGACTTTCATATTATATAAACAGAATATTCTATGTGTATATCTATATCTAACAATTATGATCATTATTGAATGATAATGATCGGTAAAAATATAATTGGCTTTATCAGTTTTTTTTTTCATGTCGCTCTTATTACTATTTTTAATAGTAAATATTTAAATATGAATGATTATTTTAGAGTATTGACATTGATAATAATGGACAAGAAACATCAGTATCAAATCAACAAGCAAGAAATCAAGTCGAAATT